AAATATTTTGACACCTAAAACTCTCTAAACACTCAAAACTAAACCATAATAGAACATAATTAACCCAAACATAAATAATATTAAGAAAAAATAATTTTGAAAAAGTGACATTTTTGTAAAGATTTCAAAAGTGTGGCATTTTTGTAAACTGGCACTTGAAAAGTGGCATTTTTTGAAATTTTTTTATTTTAAATGATTTTTAAGATTTCTACACACAAATTAAAAAACTATTTAATTTTCTATTTTTCAACATAAAACCACCAATTCCAATACAATTTAACCAATAGAAAACTAATCTGCAGAATTTTAAGAGTAAAAAACAACAAAAACATAATTAATTTTACTTTGAAAACTTAAAGCATCATCTAATTTGAGACAAAAAAATTTATCTAAAAAATTATTTAATATGATACGGAGGGAGTAATAAATAATCGTGGCTTTAAGATATCGTGGAATTTGGCACCCCGGTTTAGTGCTTAACCCGGCTTAATTTTAATATAAGCAATTTCGACAAAAAGAGAAGAAAAAAAAAAGATATCGTGGAATTTTATGCCAGAAAACATGATGGAGGAAGAAGAAGAGAAAAACCCTAATCCAATCTACGTATTTGGTGGAAGACATACTCGTTGGACTGTCATTAAAAAAAATTCTGAGATTCAAAACTGTCTCAAAACAATAGAGATCAATACTAGGGTCGAAGAGTTTCGCGGAGAAGCGCAAGAGGCGTGTTCAACAGGACCGGAAAATCCTGGCTGTCGGAGATCGGACAGAGCCGCGGTTCAAAGGAGACGCAGAGATCGAGATGGTCTATTTACAAACCGATGAAGTCACCAGACGACCCTTCGTTGGCATGTGACGGTTTGGTTTGCATCCCTGTACTACTCCATAAGGTTCTCCTGTGAAGGACACTAGAGATATGGACCATGGATNCACAAGAAAAAGGATGGGAGTACGACTTACTCCATAAGGTTCTCCTGTGAAGGATTTTTTTCCCAGTATGTATTGGGACAAGTTCACGCCTCTAGCTATTTCTAAGCAAGGGAGTCTTTTCTTATATACTATATTTCAATGAGAAGAAGAGAAGAGGTTGCTCAAATACTATCCCATCTATCTGGCCTTCCCATCTATCTGGCTATTCCCATCTAATAAACATACTGTTTGCTCACTTCTTTTAGTGATTACA